TATATATATATATATATATATTCAAATTTGTTGATACAAAAGCATGATTGATGGTATGACTTTTGTTGACTACAATTACGGTTAATGAGAGTCTTTGTATTTAACCTGGAAAGAGAGCACGATTTGTATATAAACTAGGATCGTGTGGAAGAATGTAGAGATATGAAGTTGAGAGGAGGAGGAGCATGGGCCATATGTTAAAGAAATGGACATGGGTCCTATTAAGTATTATAATGGACAAACATCGACGGTTCATATATTTAATTAATTTTCCTCGAAATTTTAAGCTGGCCTTTTCCACCATGAATGGAGAGAGATATGCATGTTTGTTAAATAGCATGATATGCACCATTTTGACGCAGAAAGCTGATTTACTCAGGTTCACTAATCATGCTTTACTTTCATAACTTAAAAAGAGCTAGGGATTAAGGAATAATATTATAAATTAATGACGAACATATTGAATTCAGTGATGTCAACAGTAACACGCAGGCTTTGATTTAGTGGTGGGCACAGATGATGACTTATAAACTAGTCGCGCGTCCACCGATAGCAGAATAAAATCTGGGGTTACAGTGAAACAAGCATGAATGATGATACTTTTTTCGCTGTAAATGAATCTTGATTCTTCAAAGAATAAAATCTGTGGTTACTAATAAATACCGGTAGCTAAGAAAAAGTGCGCATTAAAAGTTAGAGTAGCGCAGCGAATCCTGCATCCTTCTGTAAACAACAAAGATGAATGTTTATTTACATATACATATGTTTACTTTGGCATAGAGGACAAGCACCGTTGGTTACATGGCTAGGCAGAGGCTCATTGGTCTAAGTAGATGCATAGGATTAGGAGCTACATATGTGGTGAGCTATTAAAAGAAAATGATGACCGAAAGTAACATCATATGGTAGCCACATGTGAAGCAGCACACTGGTTTTGATCAATACTACCAATTAGGTGTACACAGCCAAGCAACTTCCTAGTCACTAGCCAGTTATAACTCTTGGATATATATTTCAATTATAGTCATGGGAGTATTTATTTTGCTAGCTAGCCTCGTATTTTATTTGTGATATATTAAGCATTTTACTTTTTTTTAAAAAGTCATACAAGCATATATGGATGGTTGTTATGTCATTTCCACTTAAAAAATTATGTGATTTTCATAAAAAATAAAAATAAAAAAATTGACTTCAATTTACTTTTAATACTATAGTTTTATGAATGCACAATTTTAATCTCTCAAAAATTTTAATATAAATTTAGTCTCCTAATTTTCAAAATTAATAAACAATGTAGGTTTACTATTAACATGTCATTTAAAGCTAAACAAAAAATAGTGTTACTTGTAGTTGAGTTAATAATTACATGAGAAATTAATAATCCTAAAATTAAAAATAAAATCATTTTAATTAATAAATTATAATTTTTAATTGAAAAAAATAACATATCTATTGTAAAAAGTAATGTTCCTCCTCACATGAAAGCTAACATGATCAAGATACCGCCAAATAGTGTCCCTTATAGATAAGTTTACATTTTTTGTTTGATTTTGGATAATATGTTAATTGTTAATGGTATATAATATTATTTAATTTTAAAAACTTAGGGGACCAAACTTGTAATAAAAATTTTAGGGGACCAAATTGTATATTCATAAAATTATAAGGACTGAAAGTAAACTCAAACATAAAAAATTACATGACTTTATATATTTTAATTAATTTTGATACCTTTAGTCATTATAAGTGTGATTTAGGGAGAACGATATGATACTTTTAAGTATCGAAATGTGCTAAGGAGAATGACAGATACACTTAATCATCGCATGTGTGGCTTAAAAAAAATGATACAATATACTTAAGCACCAAAATATGCTAAGGAGAACAACACAATACCCCTTAAGCACCAAAGTGCATGTACTGAGGAGAATGTTATATAGTAACTTTAATCATTATGACTTAAGGAGAATGACACAACACCCTTAAGTGCCAAAGTTTACTTGTAAGCACTAAAGTGTGCTAAGGAGAATGACACACGATATCCTTAATCTTTATAAGTGTAAGTTAAGGAGAATGACACAATACCGTTAAGCACCAATGTGTGCTAAGGAGAACGATAAAACTTAATCATCACAGTGTGCTAAAGAGAATGACATGATACCTATAATCATTATACAACTATGTCTTAAGGAGAATAATACGATAGTCTTAAGCACCAAAGTGTGCTAAGGAGACGACATGATACCCTTAATGATTGCAAGTATGCTAAGGAGAATAATACAATAACCTTAATCACAATTAAGTGTAATTTAAAGAGAATGACACAATACCCTTAATCACTGAAGTATTCTAAGAAAAATGACATGTGTTGTACCCTTAATCACCAGAAGTGTGATTACCCTTAAGCACCAAAGTGTGTAAAAGAGAATGATATGATACC